CGGGGGGGGGGGGGGGGGTGGGGGGGGGGGGGGGGGGAGAGAGGAGGTTCAGGGGGTGTTGGGATGGAGGGGCAACAAAGTTTTATAGACTTGAAGCAGATACAACATACAACTGAACGGTGATGCCTAATCATGCCTGAAATGGGAAAACCCGGGGGCAAAGCAGGGAATAAAAAAAAGCAGCAAATGAGGCACCGCTCTCATTCAGGGGGGTTGTTCAGCTCGCTCCTTGATAATAATTTATAGTGGGATCATGTGAAATGGCACACCAGAGCAGGGAGCCCTGGAAAGGCAGATATGTTTAGCAGGTCTTGCCCCTCACCACAAAAAGTCTGCAGGTAAAGGCTCACCCCTGGGTTTCCCCAACATCCAGACACACAGCGAGGGGAGGAGTGAGATGCAAAACAAAAGCATAGTTGGTAAAATAACCCCCAGCGGCCCCGGTTTCCCCCAGAGTTTGCATTTGCATTGCTGCCCACCAACCCCACGCTGCGCCTGAGCCCAACGCTGACACTGGTCCCACAGGTCACTTAGTGGGACCTGACACGAAGCTGGGGCTGAAACAAAATGGGGGTGGGGTGGGGGAATCCCCTTCATGGGATTTTATATGTGTTTTCAGATCCCTTCTGGAGAGACAGTGCTCCATAAGCGACCTCTAACACATTCACTTCGCTCCTCGCTTCTCACCTTGTAAAAGCCCACGGCCCAAATGCATCACAAATCCAAAATACATGTTTTGAAAGCAAAATTTAAGTTAGACTTCACAAAAGACTTGACCTTTGCTGCATTGTGATGTAGTGAAAGTCTGCTTAGAAATAAAATACAGCACATTCAAATTGCCTTCAAGTTTGAAAGCAGTTTTTTAAACCCCCAAAATCAAAGCTAAACTAGTTAATTCCCAGGTATCTTGCTCATCTCAGCCTGCGGACTAGGAAAAAAGAGCTTCTCTTTTGCTTATTAAAAACTCCAAAACTTTAGAACTTCATTTTTTTTATAAAGACAAAGCATACTTCATTTTTTAACTCTGATGTGCAGACTGACACATTGGGAATATGCTAAAATACAAAATCCCTAGGAATATTGCCCCTCTTGCACCAAAAGCAGAACAGCCTCCGGCTTTGAGGCTAACAGTCCTCCAGCTCTCCCCTTGCAGGAAACCCTTGACTCCTGTTAATTGGCAGAAACTCATTAAGCTGCTGTTATGCCATGGCTGGCCATCCCCTGCACACCCAGATACACTGAAGAGCTTTGCAGCAGCCAAGTCCTGGTCAGGCAAAAAAGGATCCTAACAGCACCCCTACTTAAAGCACACAGTAGCCCAGGTCACATGAGGTGGTGGAAACCCTTGTGGCTCCACCAAACCTGGTGCTGAGACTGCCCTGTTGCTTCACAACAGCCACATGGACCCCAAGAGCAGGGTCAGGCCCCGCAGCCGGGAAGAGGAGCCCCCAGTGCAGCCCCAAGACTTACAAGAGGCTCTCAGCTCAGCCTTTACGTGTATTGGTAACATTAAGGCAAACACATAAATTCTGCAGATGTTTTAAAATCCTAAGAGTTAGGAGGGTTTAACCCCTGTATTAAAAAACACACATTTTAAGGACCATTTCACTTTACCTTCAACACTTCAGGGAAGGACAGGTGTAACTTTTCCCCTCTCTGCTCGGCGAACCACATTTAGCTGTCACTGCTTTGTTATTTTCTGCTTTTCCTGGGAGAAACACCTGCCTCGTGCTGGCTGCTAGAGGAGAGATGGGCCACGGCCAGAGAAAGCAGAGGACATTGCACTTGTTTCACCAACCAGAGCAACAAAAGCATGACCAGCTGCCCCAGAAAACACCTACTCACTGAGCTTTGCTCCCCCAGAACCAACCAGCACACTGAAAAACCTTTATAAAGCAGCCACCCAGCTGCCCTCTATTATAAGCACGGCAGGCCTGCTGTAGATAGGTACCAGGTGATCCCTTGTTTGCAATTTGGAAGAAAGAGCAGAGCAACCCCCCTTTGTAACTATCCAATCATCCCCAATCTGATGCAGCTGCTGGAGCAGAGATACTTTGGGGCAGGAGCTCATGGGAGCTGCTAACTCCTTACCCAAGGTATGCTTCCAATCAATTGGATGCTTAATGCAACAGGATTCACCCTTCCAAGGCTCAAAAAAACCCTTATGAACAGACACAGAGGTGGTAACATAGGCTGGGATACAAAAATCTTTTAAAAACATCTCCTAATGATAAAAAAGCTTAGGGTGTGTGCAGGCTTTTGGGTAATTGGACTTAAAAGACCAGCTCACCTTAATAGCTCCTTTTGGGTCAGCCCATGCCTGTGCACCCTGCTGTGACCCTACGGCCGTGTGTGGAGGTGCTTCTGCCACGCGCCTCAGCCCCTTGCCAAGCTTTAAGGTACAAAAGTGTCTGTGCTTGTGCTATGCCCCAGCTGACAGGAGAACTACAGCCCGGGTTCTCAAAAAACAAAAGAGCAACCACCACCCATCGAAAAGGCAACACCGATTTCCCTATGGCCATTTTGCCAGGAGAGAGTCACCCCGGCTGGGCGCCTCGCTCGGATTTTAAGAAAGGAGCTGAATAAAAGCAGCTGTGAGAATGAAGCTAATACACGAAGCAAAAAAATCAGTTGGCCCCTGCCCCGTGAGTCGGCTCCGTCCCACTGCGCCCGGCAGCGGGTGTCCTGGCAGCCCGACACGGCCGGCCAGCAGCCCTGCTCACTACCCAGCTGGTTTCTTTCACCAAATAAGGTCCATTCCCGCTCGCCGGCACAGGCATGAGTAGCTGCAGCCTATAAATCCCATCGGAGACAGCACACAAGCATGCACTTAACCCATCTTCTGTTCAGAAAAACTCTTGGGCCCCGAACCAGCAAACTCCTGGGGTGAGTGCTGAGCTCCGAGCAAGGGACGAGTGTCACTGGCAGGGGGAAAAGCTGTGCAAGGGCTGGAGCCCTCAGCTGGAAACAGCGGCACGCCAGCCTGATACAGCTCCCCCCAGTACTGCGGCTCAGGGCAGGGCTCTGCATCCCCTGGTACTGACAGCATCTCCACAGCAAGACCATCGCTCCTCCCGAAACCCACCAGCTGGCCTCACTTCTCCTTGGACGGACACTAAGGAACGTTACGGATCCCACCAGCCCCAAAAGTACATAGTCTAACAGCAGAAATGCAATACGACAGCCGGCATTCATCACGAGGAGGCGGGCAATGGAGGAGGGCTAGGAGACACCACGCTTCTGCACCAGCCAACGCCAGTGGGGGTTCCCCACGATGTGGGGTGCAGCGGCCCTAAGCCTGGTGCCTGGTCTAGCTCTGGGGGAAACCTCTGCCCACCAGTGCTGAGCAGCCCCTCGCGCAGACACCAGCTCCAGCTTTCTCTTTGTAAACTCAGCACTTGGTTTTCTGCAGCCGATAGGGTAATACAAAGTCATACCCGCCGCCTGGCCCTTGTTAGCATTAAAAATTAAAGACAGAGCAAACAAAACCTAAAGCTCCAACATTTATTATGGCAATTTCCCACCCACCCACAGACCTACACTGTTTTGTTTTATTTTTAATTCGTCACATCAGATGCGCCTTCTGAGAAATGGCACGTCAGGGAGATAACCAACAGGCCGGGTTGTCCATGAGAGCAAGACAAGTCTTTTCCATGGGGAAAGGAGCCGGTGGAAGCCATCGATAAGCCCTTGACCTTGGTGGGTGGGTTTGCTTTTTTTTTTTGCTTTTAGAAAATAAAAAAAAAAAAAGGGAAAAAAAAAAACCAACCGAACCCCAAAGAAGTGTTGTACTCTATTACAAAATATAAATACGATAGTCTTGCAGGCAGGAGGAGCCCGGGGAGCGCTGCCTTCGGCGGGTGACTTCTCAGGCTCTCCCGGGGACGCGGCGAGCCAGCAGGACAGAGGCCACCTCTGGACGCCGAGATGCCGCCAGCCGCTCGCCCCAGCTTCACCTCCTTTCAGAATTTAAGTGCTCTTGAACTTCCATCCGAAAACTGCCAGACGTCCGGGGCTCCCTGGGCGCTGCGCCAGCTGGGGGGGTACGCCGAACCTACAGAGAGCATGGGGACAGAGGAGAGAACAGGTGTGACATGGCCCACGGTGCGAATTATTCTCTTATTTCACTTTTTTTTTTGTCTTTTTTTTTTTTAACAACTAGGACACCCAACTGTCGCAAAGGGATACAGCGGGATGGAGCCCTTCCTCCTTTCAGGCCACACCCTCATGTCCGGCATCGCTCGGCACCACGCAGGAACCACAGGGATCATTTGGGAGGAGAAACCTCTGGGCTTTGTTGAGAAGCCCGCGCTGTGCCAGGAGCTCTGCTTGGGCAAGGACCAAGCCAGCCTGTCTGAAACTTTCCTCCTATTTTTTCCCAAAACCTGCAAAGCCCCAGCCTGTGCCCAGCCAAGCGCGCGGGCAACTCGCCATCGACTCTGAAGGCATGGGACGGGGCGCGGAGACAGCAAACATCCTTGGCTCCACTCACATGGAGATGGAGAGGGGCTGCCAGCCCCTGCTCGTGGTTGATCACCAAGCACTGCGCCACCCCAAACAGCAAGCTAAGGACTACACCGCACGCAGAGGCAGTGGCGAGGCCGGCGCTTCGTCAGCACAGCCCTCAAAATCCACCTCCACATCCCCACCGAGGCACCAGTTTCTATGGAAGTCGTTTCACTAGTACTTAAGAGAGTGGTTGAAGGGCTACACACCAGCTGCCATCAAGACTAAAAAAGCAGCTCCTGGGCCAGGTCTTCAATGGGTGCAAACTGGAGTGGCTCCTCCAAAGTCAAGAGCACGTGCCTGGTCCCCCCCCCAGGGAGTGCTTGCTGCTGCAGATGTCTTATCCTGACATGTTTCAGGCTGACGTTAAAGCAGGCTGAGACTTTCAATGGAGCCAAGAGCACTGCATCCATCCGTCCATCCATCCATCCATCCATCCATTCATCCATCCCGGCCACGAGCCCTACCAGCACAACACCATACGTCCCACCATGGGCATGAAACCTGGGGGGGTTCCCTTGGTGAGGAGGGGACCCCACACCTGGATGCCCATGGCTCCTTCGAAACCAGAAGATGAGCATCTGGGCTCGAGGAGCAGCAGCTCCCCAGCAACTCCAGCAAAGATCCCAACGGACAATATCGCTCTCCCGGTCAGTAATACAATTTGCCACACACCCACTGGAAAGGGTTTTCAACCTTTATGGGAGAAAAGAAACGAGGGAGGGAGCTAAAAGAGCAGCTGGTATCTCGTCTCTGGTTTTGTACAAACCCTGCACTTAGATAAACCCCGAAACTATCTCATCAGATACACCAAAGCCTCCTGAATGTCAAGCAAAGACATGGTATCACTTATTCCTGTATTTATCTCAGCTCTTGGAAACATAATAAATACGAAACATCTGTAGTCTGAATTCTGGATACTGTTTCAGTGCCTTCATTACATTAATCATTCAATTTGGAGGAGATTAAATACTAACGGCAAAGGGGTCTGTGCCATAAAAACGCATTCCTCCTCAAAAGTTGATGAGGTTTGAGATTTTAACAATAGAGACGCTGTTACCCAACTATCGCTCTTATTTATAGAGACATCTTTTTGCACAGAAACAGGGAAGCTTCTAGGGAGCGCAGGTCATGCATGCACGGGATGCCAGAGCAGCTCGAGAGCACACGATGGGGCCTGAGACTCCGTGCCCCAACCCAACAAACTTGGCCTTGCTTTTATCATGCCATTAACTCATTGCCACTGGCAGAAAAGCATCATGTCAGCAGATTCAGCTCTGGTGGTGAGGCGGCAGCGTGGCGTTGCTCTCAAGCTACGCTCTCGGTGGCCAGCTCAGACAACTTCTCCTGCAGCAGGAGCCACCTCTCCTGAAGCTCCTCAACACCACCATGTGCAGGGTTGCAGGGCACAGCAGCGCCCGGCGGCCTAATCTAGCTCACTGAAACCTATACATCAAATGCATCACTGCGCAATTTAAAAAAAAATAAATAAAAAAAATTGTTGCATGCTTTCCACCTGTTAATCTTGTAGCAGCACACGGAGCCCAGATCTGTCTAGAGATGTCTCTCTACAGATCTGTATACAGCTGCCTGTATATATGCCCGTATATATAATTACTTCATATGTAAAACATAGTATAGAGAAAGGTAGTGGAACGACGACTGCCGTAAGATAGACATGGGGCACGGCTCCCACTCCAAAAGACAGCCAGGCTACGCTCGACCCCGGGCAGACCAGCTAACGCGAGTCCTCCAGACACCTCCACTGCGGTGCCACCAGCCAGAAATTTTAGCAAGGGGGAGGGAGAGACCAGACCTTGCACGGACATTTCACGGCGCGGGATCAAGAGGTGGTGTTGTCCCGGCAGCTGCAAAGCTCCCTGTGCACCCCTGCGTACACGAGCACTCCCGGGGACAGTCACCTCAGCCACCCCCTTCACCCCGAGCCCACCACGCCGGGGCCAGGACCAGACCCTGCCTCCCCTATGCCATGCCAGGGACCCCTCCAGCACAGCATCCACCTCGGCCACAGCCAGAGAGGACCGGTACCCCCGGCGAGGGGCAGCGTGGCTCAGGGGTGCTTTTCCACCCTCCTGTACACTCATCCCACTAGCCCGGACAATGCAACCCTCACTCCTCCCGTACCAGAATTAAAACAGAGCTGCTTTTTTTTTTTTCCCCCCCTTATCTCCCAGAAAAAGGAATACATTTTTCTCTTTAGATGCATATTTTTGTACGTTTTTTAAATCCCAAACTTCCCCTTCAGAAGGCGCCGGGCAAAATAAAGGCAACAAACGATGCCATCACAAGAAGACAACAGAACAACTGGTAGGTTTTACAGAAATAAAAAAAAAGGAAAATGAAAAAAAAAAAAGTATTAAATCCATTACACTAGGAACAGCAAGAGACAGTATCACAGCAGTACGTGCTTTAATAAAGTAAAGAGATGCTGCAACATGCAGTATTTGTCAAACTGACAACATATACGGACCCCTAAGGGAGGGGGCAGGGGGGACCTGAACTGGAGTCCGGATTTTAAAGACAATGCACATAAAACATTTCATAAACCTGTGATTCCCACCAAATAAAAAAAGCCCAGGGGAGAAGAGAAGGGGAGCTGCCAGCTCCAGCCAGGAGCAGTGCCTGGAGCTCTGGGCATCGGTCACCCCGGATCTGAGGCGCGTACCCCACCCCGAGAGAAATCAGCTCCTGCCCACGCGCCCGCGTGCGCCAGTGGCTGATTTGACCCCGCGCCCCCAAAACCTGCCGGGGGTGGATGGATGGGGGGGTCTGCAGAGATATTTATTTTTTTTTTGCTCATCTTTTCTGCCAAAGCATCGCCAGACTTGATGGGGGGGAAGTCCCTGGCGCAGAGCGAGGCCGCTAAGTGAAAGCCAGAGATGCCACCGGTTATCGGGTCACAGCTTAGTCCTCGACTAAAGGAGGGGAAAAAAAAACCCCCAAAACTACAGGTCCAGACTGCGAACGCTTTCC